GCTGATGCTTCAGTGTAGCTTTTGCCTCTCCGACATAGAAGTCATCTGAATCTTCTTTCTACCTATCTTTCTTTTCACACCACGCATAATGTAATGATAAAAATTAGGAAAAACACGCTGAGGAAATATAATGTTTGGTTTGCTAGCGAGCGAGAACTGATTTGAGAATAATTGCACATGCGCGCGTGAATTGAATGAACTATTACCCGTACAATCTCGATTTGCATATTGTCAATCAAAGGTCTTGTTATTTGGTTACTCATGCAAATTAGGCAATTGGACATAAACATTGCCACGTGCGAGTGTTTTTTTATTTTAACCAGAAAATAAACAGCAATTTTAACGGTGTTCCAATAAGAATTCATTGGTCAAATTTTCACAGAATGTTCTTTAGATAAAAATCTATATAAAAAATGAAAAAAACTATTTTTGATTGAAATTCACAAATAAACTGCATCTCTACCTTAAATGAGAAACAAAGATACCTTTAGAATTAATTTTTCTTAACATTAAAATTTCAAACATGGAAATAGAACGCATTGATATCTTTTGAATTAAATTCTTGATCATTACATTATGCTCTTTTTGCAGTACAAATTCCTTTGGGCCCCATCACTCATAACTCTAATCTTGAACATGCCTCTCCAGTGCTTCTCCAGCATATTGGTCGTCACTTTGTGTGAATTATTGTTAATTGCTTTGACAGTTTCAATTTGGCAGTGTTGGTTCACCAATGTGAACAACTCGCATTAACCCCCTCTCCTCCTGTTGCCTGTTACCCATCACAAGTACCCCAATCCAAGTCAATGTAAAAGTACATGGGACTAGAAGGATAAGGGATTAAAAATGTAGAGATTTGATTTAGTATTGCAGCAATCAAGTAATTGTTTTTATGTCAGTTTAATTTACTGCTGTTGTCTGGTTCAATATAATAAATAAGTTGTCCCATTTATAATTACTGTTACGTTGTTTCATAGAAGTGCTTATGCAGCAAGTTTGAAAAAGCTGTCAGCAATTGATACTTTTATTGTCTTAAAGGGGTGAGGCATGTGTTTACTTAATAATATTAATGTCAATTATGAACATTATTCTCATTGTTGTTCACCAGTGTTCTCTCCTGGATTTTGTTAGCAAAGTGGCAATACGAAGCAAAACATGCTATCGATAAAGAGCTTGAAACGTCTAGCTATTTTTAATAGATACTTAGGACTACGATTACCAAATATTATCTACTATGAAACATGGACATAATGAATGCATTTTAAAGACTTTCATTAGGAAGTGCAACAATTGTGCTATTATCCAAATTTTTCAGTTTCATTAGCATTATTCTATTAATACTATCATGGAAAAGAAAAATAATTTAAATTATTTGTTACCACATTAGAACACTGAAATATAATTTAGGCAATGCATCCCTGATACCCCCGTTCAGGAAGAACATTGATTGTTGTATTATATGTAGGGTGATCAGAAAAATTGTGTTGTTAAAGTTGCATTCCCACTTTTTAGGATCTGTAGAAAATATCTCCTCTAAACATTTACAAGAGCTTTGGATTTTGAATGGTTCATGAAAAATCTTTACCAATAGAATCTTGAAATAAAATTTGGGAGTCCCTAGAATTTGTTTGGGAGCCATCCAATTATATTCTCAAGGGCAGACATCCGGGCATTTTCACCGCCTGGCATTCATCGCGGTGAAAACAAAAGCCAGAAAACGGTACTTTGGGATGGTTGTTAAGACTCCCCTGAGCAGTGTAACAAGATTAGCCCTGCGTTGTGCAACATATATAAATTTGGTTGTTCAGGATACTTTGAAATTGAGTTTGTACTGTTTTCTCAAATATAGTTATTTTCACTGGATCTTCGACCGGCCTTTCACAGCAGCTCACGCAAAGCCCATAGAAATGCATGGTACAGTGGTGCGCGTCTTAGCATTGTGAAACGTCCTGTGACGTAGCTCCAACCCCCCAGGATAGGGACTTATTGAGATGCAACCTCACGAGGGGTCACCTAGGGAGTACAACTATAACAATTATGAATCAGTTACTGCTTTATACTTTCTCAAGTGGCAACAACGTCATGATACTAAATTTATTTCAAAGTATCTTTGAAATGCAATATAGACAACATTTTTTACATTGTTTGGTTTCGCATGTTGATGACCAAATTTGATTATGATGATCATTTATTTTAAATTAAAATTGGTTTCACAGCGCACTGTACATTTGAATGGGTCGTCGTCAGAAAAATTAAATACACTGATATCAATGTGTAGTGGTTTCTTATTGTATATACCAAAATAATAGTTGAACTGCAGTATCAAAGAACAATATTAAGATTATCTATACATTTGGTTTGCAGGTGACTTTCATAGAGTGCTTTTGTGATTAAAGCATTTGAAAGTCTGCGAACATGAGCGCGGAATATTTTGAAGAAGAAGCAGAGGTATCAGATGATGACTTCAAAGGCAGTGAAGATGAAGAAGAGGAAGAGGAGGGAGAAGGTGAGTTTGTGGTACTCTTACAGAGTCCAGTGGCTTTGGCCTCTCCATTTAGTTTGTAGAAGGCAAACTTGTCCAGAGTACAATGGCTTTGGCACTTTCTCGCTTTTCTGTGTTCAGTCCGAGGTAGGAATTGTGTTTTGTCTGATCCAACAATCACTACGCTACTGATGCTCGGCATGCATTTTGTAATTTTCTTGTGTTCAGATCTCGATAAGAACTTAGAAGATCTAATTGATGATGACCCTGTGGAGGAAGATGAAGATGAATCTTCCGATTCTTCTGATGAAGAGATTAGAAAGAGGAAGCGAAAAAGGCGACACCATGACAGTGACGATCAACTTGAAGATGAAGATTACGAGTTGCTGGAAGAAAATTTGGGAACTAAAATTAAAAGGGTAGGAGTTTTGCAGACGTTTGTGCTTTCCAAAATGACTAAATTTTGTTTCAGATTGTATGTCATTAATTTGACCATGTCAGGGGTAAAATTGCCTAAAATCACAATTGAGACATTCTGACCAGTGAATACATAAAAACTTGCAAAATGTTATTTTCGGTAGGAAGAAAGATGTTATTGCATGGTTATCTGAAGCTGGCTTGGAATAAAATTTGAAATAAATATAAAAAGAAAAACATGGGAAATGTAAAAGGTGACAAATATGGACTGTGATGTTCAAAATGCTAGATTCCTCGTATAAAGATCTTGAAAGCTGTTATCCTGAAAATAGATTTTGTAATCTAGAGAAGGATTTCGCATACCCATGCTCTTATTCATATGAAACCCGAATTCATGTTAATCTTTTTGTTTCAGAACAAATTTCGAAGGTTAAAGCAGCTGTCAAGTGACGAGAACGAAAGCGAGGATGACATGGATGAGAAAGTTGATGATAGAGAGGCCATCGCTAATCAGTTGTTTGAAGGCGCCGATGAGGATGAAGAGAGGGTAAGTTCGCACATCATTTTTGGGGATTTTCTGCTTTTTTTGTTTTTGATGTACTGAATAAGGGTAATAATGTCTGTTGTGATTGTTGTCTTCGTTGTCAACTTCATTATTGCTGTGTCTTGTATGATTGATTATTGTTAGTTTATCTACAGTTCTGGTAATCAGAAATATTTTAACTTAAGGCAGTATTCAGGTGATCTAATTTTATAACATCCAGAGCCATCTCCATAACAAAATTTTGGCTGTTTTTACCGTAACAAGAAAGTCGTTCTGCAATCTCGTGTGATGATCAATACACTGGGGGAATTGTTACAATAACACACTTGGATCTTGAGTCTGTGTCTGTCTTTGTTGTGATTCTTGTCTTTCTTTTCTATGACTTACAAACTGCATTGTATGAGATAAAAGTGTTATGTTTCCATGAAGAGTGTTATTATCGTACTTGTCTGAGTTAGCGCCCATGCTCGACTAAGCACCCACTCTTATTTTTTCGGGGTCACTTTCAGCTTAGCGCCCATCAAAACACCAAATTGAACCATCAATCATGAAACCCGGTCATTTAACATTGTTTTACTTTTCTATTGTGACTATCATGAATGAAGTTTGAACGAGTAAACTACTCTATGATTTTACATGACCCGTTGCATTAGTGAAAGGAGTTAAATTCATATTACACACTCAAAAATTTGAAAAAAAAAAATTGCGCCATACCCTGATAATTTTTACATTCGTATTGAAGAATACAAGAAAAAAGTGCCAACAAATTTGGGTGAGAAAGTCCGGTGGTGAAAAAGTTAGGGGTGGGTTTGCGCAATTAAGTGCCCAGCCCCTTAAAAAAAATGATTTTTTAAGCTGGGTACACTGGATGCTAAGCTGGACGAGTATGGTAGTTCCACACCAATTCTGATTAGCTCACATAAAGCTATTTTGATCACTTCATCTTTTCTCTACTAATCTCTCGTTGTTCCCTCTACTAACACTGTAAAATCTTCTTTATAATTAATTAAACTCACTGTGGTAGATCCAGAAGTTGTCTAAGGATTTCACCAGCGGTAGACAGCCACCGGTTTGTACACTAAAACTACATGTCATGTCAGTGTCTTAGGGAATGTATTACAAAGTACTAGTCACCCCTGAATTGTATTGACGCCATGATGGTGTTTTATAGGCAGTCGCACTTGTTTAAGTTTTGTGTGCATACGCAGTGGCTGGTTGGCAAGAACCATTCATTCACAATCTGAAATAAATTAGCGACATAGTTCATGGCTGTTACTGTGCAATCTGTATTAGAAGCTGCGGCTTCTATTAAAATCGTAAAATGCAACGGAAGGGATACGGCTTCTATTAGAGCATCTACACATATGAGAAATGGTGAATTTTTGATTCTCAATTGTTCAAAAAGAATGGGTGCGACTTCTATTAAAAATGCGACTTTTAATGCAGATTTTACGGTACTCCTAAATATACATACGTGTCTCTGTTTATTAAACAGCTTACGAGCACCATTGTCACAGCAAATCGCAAGGTTATAGTGCTGATAAGCGAGCGACTATTCACATGCTGGTTGGCAGAAATGTAAACGTACGACATCACAGTGCGACAGTCTATAGCGTCTTGCATTTATCTATCTATGCATGCATTCCATGGTCTACTGAATAGCGTAGACATTGTGTGATGCACAATAGATAATTTTATATATGAATATAAAAACTGTGTAGTGTGTTGTATAATGTCTAATAAAATGAGTATACTTTGTGATGACAAACATGTGTCTTGTACTGTAATGTAAAATGATTACCCAATCCTCTGCGTTCGAATCTACGTAATTGATGTTTGACTGTTGCATGGCTGGTAAATTTTCTAGCTGAGTCTGGTACATTGAGCATTATGACAACTTCAATACATTATAGTATGTAAACACTCAACAATTTGTTAGTCTGTCTTAAATTATTATATTCTACAGGCAACAATATTACTGGTTAATCACTTTTAAAATTGCAGTCCCACATTGCAATCTGTGAGGTACTTTCCCATCACCAATATCTACAATATCTATTGTGGATGAGTAATGAGAAATTAACTGCAGAATAGGAAGCTAGATTATTCTAGGAGTAATGTTTCACATATTTTCAAAATGGGAATGCAACATTAAGATTGAAGCAACACCTTTGATCTCACAAAATATACTTTAAAAAAGTATGGCAGTGTGACAATCAGTTGGAAAATGGTCACTTAAAGGCCCATATCGTGTTAAATTTATTAGTAGTGTTGCTCCCCGTTCGCTTATTGAGTGTTGATACACTTGCATGTTTGTTTGTGGTTTGTGTAAATATTGTTGTGAATCATCTTGCAGGATTCCATAGCTCCAGCCATGCCAGCCGAGGAAGACAAACAGTACGCTGATCTTGTTGACTCAGAAGGATCTGAGGAATCAGGTAAGGCTTGATTTCACTAATCCTGCTATATACCTTATTCTGCCGTAAATTCGCCCATCAAAAAAACTGCCCTCTGCGATTTCACACTTGGTGAGCCCTTATTCGGTGTTCAAAATTAAAAAAAATGATCATCAAATATTTTTTTTGGACTTCTATTTTCATTGAAAAATCCACCTACGTTGACTTTTAATGCCGACAGTTTGACCACCCAAGACGAAAGAAACTTTTGCAGAAGCTAATCTAAAACTTGATACAATTTTTTTTTTTGCTGGGCGATTTCTTGGTCCCATTTTATTTTTTTGAAAACCCAAAATTTACAGCAGAGTCCGGTACTCCTCTGATTCTAACCACTCTCTGGGACTAATGCCATATTTGCTTTGTGTTGTACCGGCATTGCATATATTTGTGTATCACAGTAAGTCAATGTTCCAGCCTACAATCGAACTTCTATTGGAGATTCACTTCCAAAAGATAAAAAAGGGGGTACAGACCTATTCGTGAATATACCAAAGTTTCAATAGTTTGCTCTGTGTTACTATTTCACTTCCACTTTGAACCCACCCACATTCATCAAAATGTGTTGATTAACCTTAATTCGGAATGGAGGTTCTTAGGAACACTATTTAAAACACTAGCAAATGGAATGTCAGAACAATTGGCAACAATAAAACATTAAAAACGCTGGACGTTTGATACATATCTGCCTCTGTTCACATGAATTTGAACAATCACTTATTTCATATACATTGTCCCAATGAAACTGAAGGAATGGTTTTTGTGTGAAGCTTAGACACCATCTGAGAGTGCCTCCATATGTTTATTTATCTGATCATTAGTCATGTGATTTTTGAATTCATGTTTCTCTCATGGGAACACTATTGGTCAAGGTTCTTATGGCAATCTTCAGCATGTGATGATTAAATCTTACCTGAACTTGGCAGTAATATTTAATTTTAGTTGGAATTCATTTTTGCTAAATAGACTTTTTGGATATTTTGTATTGAGTTAATTTTCACCGATTTTTGATGAGTTGAATGTAAATTATAGGAAAAAAAGGGTACATCCATATTATTTTCATAGAATCATTCCTTCAGCAAAATAAAGTATTTTACTGTATTTAATTTGTGTTCTATCTTTTCTTGTTTTACAGAGGATGATGATTTTATAGTAGGTGATGATGGAGAGCCACTCAGAAGGAAAAAAGATAGAAGGAAACCAAGATACACTGATTCGTAAGTCTGTAATTTGAAAATCTTTTTTTTTTTGCTTTGATGGGTGCAGTGAAATTATTAAATTGTAAATGGAATGTTTTCCCCAAAAACAGTAACCTTATTCAATGATGTGTATAACTTACATTGATATATTCTTACACTGTTGTATAGATGCTACAAAAATAACTTTCTGCAAGAAATTTTTTTTTAACCAAGTCTCTAATTCAGTAATTGCATACTAAGCAATTTTTTTCCTCTAGCGCATTTTACCTGTTATGTATCTTGAGGTTGGGCTAAGTAGATCTAGTGGTTCTTGTTTTAGTTAATAATGGATATGAAGCATTTACCATCAATCTTAATCTTAGAAGTGCACCAGACTCTTTGAGTTGATTTCATTAGGTCTTTTTGAATTTACTCTTGTTACTCATTATGTATTTATACCTAGGCTACCAAGAAAAGTATGTAAGCTGAAAATTCAAAATAATGGTGATTGTCTTGCAGTACGTGTTATAATTTGATGTAAATACTGTAAAATGACTAATTTTCACTGGGTTTAAATTTCGCTGATTTACCATTTCAGGCATATTCAGTGGGTTTTAAATTCACGGTTTTACCATTTAGATAATGTGTTCTATGCTAAATTTTACATATTCACTGGGTTTTAATTTGGCACATTTTCCAGACAGCGAAATAAGCAAATTTAAAATCCAGTGAATAATTAACCCTTTTACAGTAGCCACTGCATTGTTTACATCTCAGTGGATCCATATTCAATGCGACAACCACCGCCCATCAAAATTATTTTTTCCTCCCACTTGCTGTATGTACATGTATGTTAATTCTGTTTGTTTTACAGAGCATTGCAAGAAGCTCAGGATATATTTGGTATTGATGATTTTGACATTGAGGAGTTTAATCAATACGGGGACGAGTACGAAAGTGAGGAAGATGAATACGAGGATGTGAGTGACAACTTTGAAATCAAGATTGATATTTATTATTATTCATAGAGAGATTTGAAAATCGGATGCATTTTATAATTTTTAGTTATCTTGGTTGTTCTTTGTGAAACTAATTTTTATCTCTTTAGCTAGTCTTTGCAAAAACATTCCAAACTCATTCCCTGATTTGATTGTCAGTGCTTGTCTTTTGTCTGGCCGAATCAAACAAATAATTAATTTTGTGGTCAAGGAATTAACAGAATATTTAAGATCGATTGAATATGGAGTAAATGTCTGTCATTTTAATTCTCAGATGCAGTATTTTGCACAATCATAGTTAAAAAATTATATACTACAAAGTATTATCTACCTATTTTGCCCAGTGAAAAATCTTTATAATTCAACGCTACTAATAAAGCAAATATTGTAAGCCAGTTTACCTAGGTATGTTTTGAAATAATTAATTGCCCATTTAGGGACATCTTTACTAATTCTTAAATTCACCAATCAGTCCATAAAAATGTTATGATGAGATCTGCAGGAGCCATGTCTATAAATTCATCATGATTACTCATTTGTCTGCCCCTCTTTGACCAGTATGAGGAAGAGGAGGAGGGTGAGAGTGAAGTAAGGCCGAGAGTTAAAAAGAAAGATAAAAAGAAAGCCACTAAGCTCAGTATATACGAAGTATTTGAACCGAGTGAGTTAGAACGAGGACATTTTACTGACTTGGATAAAGAGATCAGGACGGCTGACATGCCAGAGAGATTCAAGGTAAGGTTTTAGATAACATTTATTACCTTGACTGAAATGAAAGAGAGATACACTGTAACCTTGTTATAACAAACTCTTTTGGGGATGTAAAATTGTTATAGTGAATTGTTCATTATAATGGTTATACATTGAGTTTGTTTGATCAGAAGACATGCAATATGTTCATTATATTGGAAAATTCATCCTAAATGTGTTCATTATAACAAGGTAACAGTGTCTTATCTGTCTGATGGGAGCTGTGTCAGTGTTAGCATCAGCAATAGCGTTAGTAATTTGTGCCCCAGATAATGTAAGTATTTTTTGTCCAAAATTCTGAAAACTTAGTTTTGTTACCAATAAATGTTTAATCACGGTACAGCTCAATAATGGTGTTTCTAACACAGATATTTTGATGATATTTGTGATGATCCACATTGGCTTGACATATGCTGTGTTTTTAGTATGTTTGTTTCACTTTTATTTTGTGATATAAATTCTGTTCAGGTTTGTTGGTCTTTTCTCTCGCTGTTCCATGTATGCAATGCTCACAGGTGCAAAATTTCAAAATGCATCGAAATGTTTGGAGTGACTGAACAAGAACTTAATATTTTCACTTGTGCATTATGATGAATTGCTGACATCGTGGGTCTATAGTTGTGAGTTTAGATATTGTCAAGAGCACCAAAACTGTCAAGTCAGATAATGATAAATTCTTGTTTCCCATAGCTACGGTTGATTCCTGTGAGAATGACTAAAGATGAAGAACTAGATGATGAAGCGGAATGGATTTACAAACACGCATTCATGACACTTCCAATTACAATGCAGGTTAGTGTCATGAGAGGGGCTGTACTTAATTCAATAATAACTTGTGTACAGATGACTGATTGGCCTGTGGTCAGAATAAATCAATAGTACAGTCAAACCTTGTTAGTGCGAATATCAAGGTTCCTGGTGAGTTTATTCGTTATAACCGGTGTTCAATGACTTGACACAAGATGTTGACATTTTGAAGTCAGGACGGAAACTGGCATCTCACTCGTAATCGCAGTAATTATCTAGAAATTATAGTGTCCATGCTTCAAACTTTTTTATTGTGAATCTTAAAATTAAAAACTTGAGCAGCAAGGCGCTGAAAGTGAGTAGACACCGAAAGTCACGTACACACAGGATTTTCATGCCACGTAAATGGCCAAATTTACTCATCACAGCTCACCCCCCATTTACAACAGCGGAAGCGTAACACCGTGTATTTGGCGGTTCGTTTTAAGAACTTCGCAGCTGTTTGAGTGATTGAAATGTTAGGTGTTACAGAGAAAATCCATTCGTATTAAGTGTGTTTTCGTAATAAACAAGTTTGTTCTAAGTGTTGTCAATTTCCATAGGGATAATGGATTTTCAAACTGGACCCAGTTAATTTGTTGTAACAGAGTTCGTACTAACTAGTTTTGACTGTATGTATTATGCATCACTGGGAACTGTTATGTCTTTCTTAGTACTTTATTTTCACTATTTTGCTGCAGAGATGAATCAGTAAAAATAAAATCAAGTGAAAATACCTTAATTCCTATATTTTACTCATCAAAAATCAGTGAAAATATACTTCATACAAGATGCCAAAATGTCTTCAGTAAAAATTAAGTAATTTACCAAAATAAAGTAATTTACATTATACAATGTACCAACAGGTAAAATGTTTCACCTCTATTTTTTCCTTCCTTCAAATATTTAATAGTTTTATTGTGAATAATTGATTACCTTGCTTGTAAATAAAATAATTTGGTAATTACAAGTCGTTGTGGCCAGAATAACTTGAATAATTTCTCTCAAACTTACACATGTTATCATTGAATATTCAGTTAAATTTTGATGTGACTGACTGACGTTTTTTGTAATGGTTCTAAGGCTCTGTCAATGATAACTTCAGTTACCTTCAGTAGTATTTACTCGTTCAATGTTTTCACACTTAGGATGTGTCTGATCCATTACGTTCAGAGACAAGTCAAGTTAGTTCTACGTTTGAAAGCAAAGGACCCAGTACTGTCAGCAAGATTAAGGAAGCGCTTAACTTTATAAGAAATCAACAATTTGAAGTAAGTGATGCAAAAAACATTGTGTAATTTGTCAAGTATGGTGTTTTCAACGGTTGTTTGTCGACCACTTAGTACTGTACTGTACATAGTAATGAACACACATTTTTAGACACCATCTTGTGAGTGTCAAGCCTTATTTAAACATTTCACTGTAGTTACCATGGTAATATATTATATTTCAGGTTCCATTTATAGCATTCTATCGTAAAGAGTACATAGAGCCTGAACTAAATATATATGACTTATGGAAGATATACCACTGGGATGAAAAGGTACGTCCATATCTCTGCCATGGGTGTCAATGCTCAAAGTAGCTGATACTGTAAAGGGATTAATTATTCACTGGGTTTTAATTTGGCTTATTTCGCTGACTGGAAAATGCGCTAAATTAAAACCCAGTGAATATTTAAAATTTAGCATAGAACACATCATCTAAATGATAAAACCGTGAATTTAAAACCCAATGAATATCCCTGAAATGGTAAATCGGCGAAATTTAAACCCAGTTAAAATTAGTCATTTTACAGTAACTTGCATTATAATGCAGTATGCCTGTATTGTTTTTGTTCTAATTTGTCTATTTATCAGCTTAACTGAGTAGCGAAACCCACATTCTGTAATGCTCTTGGGAGAACCCTGCTATTTCCACTAATAGTATTTTCCATGTGTTCAAGCCACTTATTTCACTGTCAACATGCACTGTACTGTAAAATCATTACTTTTTCATTGAATTTTACTTTTTGCTAGTTTCTGCTAATTAAATCCACATAAACATATACAAATACCTGTTTCACTGAAAAATGTCTTTAAAATATGATTAAATATCAAAATAGTAAAATTAAATACCAGTGAAAATGAGTACTTCTACAGTAGCATATTTGTTCTAATTGGAGTGCACAAACCAACAATTTCATACTATGTGTTTAACAGTGTTTTTATAAAACTTACAATAATTTTATATATTGTGTTTCTATTGCAAGTGTGAATATTGTGTTTTTGCTAATGGGAAATTAGTATAGTGTGATTGTGTGAATATATTTGCAATTTACACATAAAAAAATTTAGAAGAGATAACAGTAACATTTAATTTCTGGCACTAACACATGGCACAATAATAATAAAAATGTACAATCTAACAACAGTATAAAATTGTTATGCAGTGAGCTGTTTCATACATTGTAACAGTTGATTTGTATCAACTCATAAGCTTACATTGCACTCATTTTGGATGTTGAAATCAAAAATGCAATATTATATTAAGTATGTGCTAGTAATAGAGCAAATATCTTACTTGTTCTTAAAATAGAAATGGCATATCCACAACATGTTCTACAATGTAGCGGTGTGCTCAAGTTTCGCTACATCTATTAACTACTACACGAGTGTGGCTTTCTCGCTGACCATCTGTAGTTGTACAAAATTTTCAATGTTATTCCATTATTCTCTGTATAATGGAGTGCTTTATTTCATTGTAGTGGACACAACTAAGAAACAGAAAGCTGAATCTGAAGCGACTGTTTGAAAAAATGCAGAATTACCAGTTTGAGTTGATACCTCATGACGTAGATGCCAGCTTACCTGATAACATCAGGCCTTTAACGGAGACTGATATGGAAAGGTAAGAATTCCTACGATATAGGATCATCAATCAAATTGATCGTGATTCACATATTTCTGCCCCAATATCCTTTTTTGATTGTGAGTGCGATAAGTTGACTGGAGAAAACATGAACCAAAAAAATTAACAAAGCTTTAATAATTTGACCTGTTATTTATTCCACCATTTTGTAGTTAGGCCAGTGGCACTACTTTTTACATGCTTTTGGGTGGTATAACATCATTACAAAAGTATGAATGAAATAAAATAGTCCCAAAACTTTCCAGTGAAGATCAAAATGCGGATTTCTCACGGGCTGGAGATTTCTTCAGTGAAAACCACCAAGATTTTGTCATTGGAATATCTCTGATTACAACTGAGTTCGTTTATAGTTTGCAATTTCCTTTAGAAGATTGGGACAAAAGTAGCCAATTTTTTGAGTCAAATCTGAAATTTTCTTTCTGAAATTAGATTTCATTTCCAGAAGAATATTAAAAAAAATGCCAACAAATTTGGTCGAGAAAGTCTGGTGAAAAAGCTTAAGCATAGCAGTTTCACAGTGCTTGGCAACAATTATGTTAAGTACCATAATAAATATGCAAATTAGGTAGTTATATGCTAATTAACGACTCTGTCTAGGCATTTATATCAAATAGTGAAAAGAAATCCCACATTTGTTGTTTATTGTATCATTGAGTGCACTTTAGCAAATTTATCTTTTAATTGTATTTGCTAAAAAGACTTGATGCTGTGCAGTCTCCCGAGGAGCTGAAAGATGTGTACATGCAGTTCTTGCTGTACTATGGTAGGGACATTCCCAAAATGCAGAATGCAGAGAAGGTGCGGAAGAGGAAAGTGAAACGAGAGGAGGCGGGAGAAGATGGAGAAGATGGAGAGGTTGTAGTTGAAGACAAGGAAGAGCCGACTGAGGATGTGAGTGGTACAAGTAAAGAAATTAAGCAAGCTGCCCGGAAAGGAATGTACGGGCTGTGTGAGCAGGCTGGGCTAGGTAAGTGTTGGCGATGTTATGGGCTATTTGAGCTTGCTGGGATGGATAATTTGTGCTTCTGTTGGAGATCTGCTTCTATTTGAAAAAGATACAGTATTCATCTAATCTGCATGTTTAAGATAAGCATTAATATCCTCCATAGCACATGTGCTTTGTACTTATGCAAAGTCATGTCAAAAAGTTAGCATTTACAATTACCATTTACTGTACAATAATGCCTACAGCAGCACAGTGATAGAATCTCACAGCCCTTCATGGATGATCTTGTTATGGGCTGATAATATTCTCTTTCAGACGGAGTTGCCAAAAAATTTGGTTTGACACCCGAGCAGTTTGGCGAGAATTTGCGGGATAATTATCAGAGGCATGATACAGATCAGTGGCCTTCTGAACCAAGTGAATTGTCGCAGGAACACTTGTGTTCGTAAGTTGCTACACATATCTTTCTCACTTGATGTGTTTGTGTGTGAAGTGCTAAACGTTGTGCTGGTCAGTTTTCTTCCCTGCCTCTGTTTTTTCCAGATTGAGTCTGTGACTGAGTTTCAGTGTGCCCTCTACGTCTATTTTTACTAGTTAGTTACCGTGAATTACTTTATTTTAGCTGGAATCAATTTTCGCTGAAAAGACTTTTTGGCTGTTTTGTATGAAATTTATTTTCACTGATTTTTGACAAATTAAAAAATACAGGAAAAAGGTATATTTGCTTGATTTTATTTTTACTGAATCATTCCTTCAGCGAAAATAGCGAAAATTTATGAAGTATGCTGTTTTTCAGACAGATACAATATTGATTACCTTGAAATTTATATATGTGTATTTTACTTATGGACTGATTTGATAAAATAAACAAGTATAAAAATCAGAGGCATTTTAGTTTGTGTCGTCAAAATTCACTGGGAGCCACCACAGAATGATTTCAAATAATTGAAGACCTCTCATCCTTCTTCAGTTAACAGGCTGACAAATTTGATTTTTGGTAGATTCCATTTTGACTCGAGAATCTACAAATTCGTTCCTGTTAGAGGGCGCACTGCTGAGTTTCTCAATCGCCCATGTCTGGAAGTACTGTAAATTTACAAAATGTCACTGAGCTCGCTGTTCCATAGATCCCAGTAAAATGTTCAACTTAACGATATGTCTATCATGAAATTAAACAAATGTGTAAGAGCTTAAATTGACAAGTGGGTTTGTGGATGGTTGAAACCAACTATCCAATCTGTAATACAGAAATAAAACATAGCATTTCTTAATTCATTGCAGACAATTTCCCACGGAAGACAATGTCTTACGAGGAGCTATTTACATGGTAGCCATGCAGTTGGCTCACGACCCATTGGTAAGACAGTGTGTCAGACAAACCTATTATGAACGAGCCAAAATATCAGTCATTCCAACCAAGAAAGGCATCAAGGTAAGACTGCTAGCGGCTATAGCCTACAGCATGCCCCGTATCTGGTGGTAAATTAAAAAAAGAAACAAAATTAGAATTAAATGTGTGCATATAACATGCAGGTAATAAACTGTAGAGTTGCCAAAAAGTGGAAATTATAATAGACAATTTTATTTATTGTACCCATCCAAATAAATTGAATGTATGGCCACCAGAGGGCGCCATAATTAGAATTGTATGTGTGCATATAACATACAAGTAATAAACTGTAGTGTTGCCGAAATTGTGGAAATTGCCGAAAAGTGGAAATTATAGTCAGATAATTTTATTTATTGTACCCCATCCGAATAAATTGAAGATTTGGCCACCAGAGGGCGCCATAAGAATATGATTTGTAGCTGGATTTGTTTACTGATTGCTTTTTATCTGATTTAAATTTGATTAAATATATAAAGCATAGCTGTAATAGTTATTAATGCAATTTGTGGCTGTGCTGAGTTCAGACACATGAAGTTGCTAATACTGAAAATAGCTGTCAAAGTAGAGTACGAGGAAATCTCAAAACGATTGTTTTCTAGAAACCAAGTTAGGATACCGCTATGTTTTATTTTTCTCTGTCATTTATTTGATGGAACCTTTCACTTGAGCGTAGAACTCTCGTACCTGAGTGTAGAACACCCGTACCCAAGGGTAGAACACCAGTACCCAAGGGTAGAACACCAGTACCCAAGGGTAGAACACCAGTACCCAAGGGTAGAATACCAGTACCCAAGGGTAGAATACCAGTACCCAAGGGTAGAACACCAGTACCCAAGGGTAGAATACCAGTACCTGAAGGGTAGAACACCAGTACCCAAGGGTAGAACACTAGCGCCCAAGGGTAGAACACCAGTACCCAAGGGTAGAACACCAGCACCCAAGGGTGGAACACCAGTACCCAAGGGTAGAACACCAGTACCCAAGGGTAGAACACCAGCACCCAAGGGTAGAACACTAGCACCCAAGGGTAGAACACCAGTACCCAAGGGTAGAACACCAGTACCCAAGGATAGAACACTAGAACCCAAGGGTAGAACACCAGTACCCAAGGGTAGAACACAAGCACCCAAGGGTAGAACACCAGTACCCAAGGGTAGAACACCAGTACCCAAGGGTAGAATACCAGTACCCAAGGGTAGAATACCAGTACCCGAGGGTAGAACACCAGTACCCAAGGGTAGAATACCAGTACCCGGGGGTAAAACACCAGTACCCGAAGGTAGAACACCAGTACCCGAAGGTAGAACACCAGCACCCGAGGGTAGGACAGGGTAGAACACCAGCACCCAAGGGTAGAACATCAGCACCCAAGGGTAGAACACTAGCATCCAAGGGTAGAACACCAGTACCCAAGGGTAGAACACTAGCACCCAAGGGTAGGACACTAGCACCCAAGGGTAGAACACTAGCACCCAAGGGTAGAACACTAGCACCCAAGGGTAGAACACCAGTACCCAAGGGTAGAACACCAGTACCCAAGGGTAGAACACCAGTACCCAAGGGTAGAATACCAGTACCCAAGGGTAGAATACCAGTACCCAAGGGTAGAACACCAGTACCCAAGGGTAGAACACTAGCACCCAAGGGTAGAACACCAGTACCCACGGGTAGAATACCAGTACCCAAGGGTAGAACACCAGTACCCAAGGGTAGAACACCAGTACCCAAGGGTAGAACACCAGCACCCAAGGGTAGAACACCAGCACCCAAGGGTAGAACACCAGCACCCAAGGGTAGAACACCAGCACCCAAGGGTAGAAAACCAGTACCCAAGGGTAGAACACCAGTACCCAAGGGTAGAACACCAGTACCCAAGGGTAGAAAACCAGTACCCAAGGGTAGAACACCAGTACCTGATCATAGAACACATGTGATTATGAAAGAACTTTGGTTAACATTTTGTAAATTGTGTTTGTTTTGACCCTCAGGAAATTGATGAATCACATAATTGCTTCCTTATGAAATACTTAAAAAACAAACCAGTGAGAGACTTGGCTGGAGAGCAGTATTTGAAGCTTCATCTGGCAGAAGAAGATAAGTTACTTAAAACAACTATCGGTATCGACATGGAAGAACAACCAGGGTAAGAATTATTTGATAAATATAACAAAAATGTTGTGATGATTCTTTATTGTTTATGACATGTGCTCTTTAGATTTTTAATTTAATGAAATTGAAATTCAAAGACTACTGTAAACAACTTTAATTATTTTTTGTAAAATTCTTTTGTGAATTTAGTGAGTAGATGTAGAACACGTGTGATTGAGTGTAGAACACGTGTGATTGAGTGTAGAACAGTGCAGTGTTCTCCCCAGAATTTTGGTCGCGTGACTGTGTCAGACAAGCAATGTATCTCTCAGAGCACCATGGTTATACACCACCACACAGTTGGTATTCAAGGCAGAACACTGATGTGATTAAGCATAGAAGGCCACCACTTGAGAAAACTCAAAACTGGTAGCACTCCTAATATTACATGTACATGATGATGTAATATGTACAATTCTCACTTTGACAGATACCAGACATACTTTGATGAAATTAAACAGCTTTATTACCGTGATGAGTTTAGTCACATGGTACAGGAATGGAACAAACTACGAACTGAAGCCATTGAGAAGGCACTGAATAAAATCCTCTATCCTCACATGGAAAAAGAACTTAGAGGGAAATTACTAAAAGAGTCTAAAGACTGTATTATTAAGGTAATATTCTGATCTATTCCAAATCATGAAATTACACCGCTTCTCTGACACCACTGAGCAGATAACCAATTGACGCATGTTTGTGTAACTAATCTTCTCTGAAACCTGCAGTAAATTGAAGTCTGAGTACTTCATCAAATCCACCATTTTGTTCATCTTGATTTATAGCTATTCATATTATAACTAAAACTGTCTTCTAAATATATCTGTCGCTCACCACTCAATTGATGAATTTTTTTATTTAAATTTGGACAGCATAACAATATAACATTATTTATATTAATAATTATGGGACAATATCTTTTATTGTCATTAAAAGAAACTTTTTTGGAAGTTTGAGCACTGTGAAACCACCGTGATCAAAGATACCTGTACTATGTCTGATAATCTAGCGATCTTCTCTGAAACCATACAGCGTAATAAAATATATCATATTCCCGATTGCAGGCGTCAACACGTACAGCATTTAACTGGATCAAGATAGCACCATATCAGGCTGATCAGCAGATGGACGATGATGATGAATTTTTGGATGGCCCAGGACCCATGGGTTTAAAAGTTTTGGGAATCGCTTACTCAGACGATAAGTAAGTAACGACAAGAATCTCATTGGTTCAAAATAATGTAAACTGTTTTAACCACAAAAAAATATTCATGATTTAATAAAGTTTGTAACTGACAAAATTCCTGTTTTGCCATTGTCACAAAAAAACATACACATAATTGTTTTTCATATTTTTTCCCAGAGAATTTTGATCAATAATTTTAGCCAATTGCAAATTGTAACCATTTTGTTCAAAATTATCAAACAGAAAATTACAGAAAAATTTGTAAAAATGTTCACTCACAATTTGAGCAGAAAACAAATATGGCAATCGTAGGGTTAAGGACCCCAGTAAAAGTCACAAATTTTAGCATTTTCCAGGAAAATTTCTTTCGCAATACCAAGTGATTTTACAGTATTTGAGCATTTTCAAGTGGTCCGACACGAAATGTGACTGGAATTCTGTCATGTTCAGTATTTGCTCTATTAGAATCACACTTAAACTAAAAGTTACATTTATTGTTTACTGGATTATTAAAATAAAATTTATTATTATACTTCTGTCACCGTAACGCCATAAGTGAAACCGTGCTGTAATTTTGCGGTTTTACAGGGTATTTTCATCCTACCATATTAGGAAATGCGAATTTCAAATATGGCGCATAAGCGTCCTCTAATAATAAAAACAAACATGGCTGCCACCAGGGTTTGACCGGACTCCACACAAAGAAGTTTGCTGATTCTGTTCTAAACATTTTGGGTTTTGGCATTCCCATGATGTATCCTTGGAAAGCAAAGATGTATAATAAGTTTATTACGAGGATACTACAAAGTATGCACTCAGACAGTACGCAGTCGCATCGCCCTCAGCTGCGCGTCGGTCGGTACTTCCGCTGTACTGTCTTCATGCATACTTTGAGGTATCCTCGTAATAAGCTCATATTATTATGACCATAGAAATACCCTTGTGAGATGCACTCCTAATAATAAAAATGAATAACATGGTACTGTTTACAGAAAAGTACCAGCTTTTGGTGCTTTGATTGATGGTGATGGCGAAGTCCAGGATTTCATCAGATTGCCAGATATCATGCTGAGACGTAATAGTTACTGGAAACGAGAACGTGACGGAAAGGAAGCTGATATGGAGAAATTGAAAGACTTTATCAGCAAAAAGAAACCCCATGTCATTGCTGTTGGTGCAGAGTCTAGGTTTGTACATTTTGATCAGTTTCTAAGAGATGTAGTCTAAAAACTTAGCTGCTAAAACCTTCTCTCATAACCCTCAGAATGAATGTACTCAAACTCTCAATAACTTTTTTTTAATATGAAAAATAAATTTGTTTTGTGAAACATGACAAAAGTTGCCATTTGGCGGTCAAAGGATTAAAACATAAATTTTTCTAAAACCCAACTTTTTGTAATTGTTACAATAAATTGATGAAGCAAGAGCGATTAGTTTGTGTTTTAAACAGAATTAGATATAAATTAAACCAGCTTGGAAAACCATGTTTTGAAATACATCTCCTACATCCCTATATAATAAACCAAATAATTTGCTAACATTTGGTGTCATTTAAGTATAGGTTAGATCACGGTCCGAGGTGAGCCAGGGTTCAAATTCTCAGTCACTCAGGGGCGTGATCTAACCGACTTAGCACTGGCCGAGAAAAGATTCGTATTAGCCTATCAAATGATGACATTTTGACAGCAATCAAACTTGTGAAATAACAGCCCTGATCTAAGTGAATTTGTGGTGAAATAGAACCACACTTTATCGCGACTCTGATTGGTCGAGGGCTGTTGGCCATGTGCTAATATATAATGTTTTTATCTTATGTTTCAGGGAAGCTATTGGTTTAATTCAGGACATCAAACGGTGTCTGACAGAACTGGAATCGGAAGAGCAGTTGCCACCGATTAATGTGGAATTGGTAGACAATAATTTAGCTACTATTTATTGTAACTCCAAACTATGTGAGGTAAGTCTACCCTGCAAGGAGTCAGCAAATCTACCAAAAAAATTCCCTCTGTCAAAGTGCTTTGGTAAATGTCCTATCAAATTAAGCTTCTGTCATATACATTTCTGTTTGACGTGTGCTTCTAATAAACCAATTACAGACCCGAAATCTACTGTAAAAATTCGTCTTTCTTGAAAACCATTTGCTGATATTTTTGCTTCATATTATATCTGTGCCATGCATGATAAGAAAATGTAACAATTTCTCATATAATTTTGTGCAAACAAATTATTGATCAGTCTTGTTGTCTTCCTATTCAGTGTGGAATTGGAGAAATTCATCACTTTTAGGCTACTCTTTTTAGTTTTTGCAAGTCTGTCTTGAACTGAATTCAAGGATTATGAAAGTTGCAGGTGTTCACTTTATATAGGACTAGAAATTTGTGAAGAAGAAACTTGCAGCATGTGATTCAGTTTAGACATGTTTGTGCTTCACATGGGATTCAGTTTTAGACAGATTCGTGGTTCACATGGTGTTCAATTTATCATACTTTGTTTGCATTTCAATCAAGAGGTTTTTCAATAATTTTTCTGTTCATAGAATGAGTTTCGTGAATATCCAACCTGTTTACGTCAAGCGTTATCTATCGCGAGGCGGTTACAAGACCCATTGGTTGAATTTTCAAGACTCTGCAATTCTGATGAAGACATTCTGTGTTTGCAGTTTCATCGAATGCAGGTGAGTATTCTAGATAGTAACTTCTGAAAGCCATACAGTTCAAGTTAATTCAAAGCATGTGAACAAGGCGAAATTTGAAATGTCGAAAAAAAAGTCTACAAACAAGCTGCTTTCTGATTGGTCTGATTGTTGGATGTTAGGTCTGGGTAGCCAATTAGACACAATTTTGTAATTGGCTACCCAAACAGTTCTGATGGAAACTATATGCTCATTTACATATTTGCATACATTAGAGTGGTGAAAACTTGTACCCTATCATCTGTTCTACAAATCAATCAAATATTTATTTCACCTAATAATGTACACTTGTAATTTCCAAAACAAACAAATCAATTACAAATAGGTAAAATAGGAACCAGAAATAGCCGTGGACTACTCTATAGTCTGATTCCTCAGAAACAAATGAATTACACAGTCTTAGAGGGTGATTTATATTAACCTAAAACTGTACATATAAAAGCAAATAATAATAAATAACGATTATTGAATCAATGTTTCTTTTATTTTTAACTTAAATAATTTCCTTGTGGTAATGTCCTTTATAATCTGTGGTAGCTGGTTCCTGATGTTAGGGCACTGGTAGCACGGTCACTGGTAGCATAGTGCTTGTCGCATCAGGCTCATGATCGGCAGACCCAAGTTCAAATCCTACCATAAGCTGAACATAAAAGGGTCGACCCCTACCCTGGGTGAGTGTGCCACAGACTCAATGGGAAGGCCAATTCCACTGGCCGAGATTCATTCACTAACGAATGCGACTTTGGGGGAACCTTGGTTAAAATCCGCAGGTGCTTGTGTTCGACCGAGCCTGGTTGACGCCAGGATAGCGCATTAAAAAAATTCCATTTGACAGAGAGATGGCCACACAGCCCTGTTACGTAGTCTCAAACATGAATATGACTTCTGTGGCAAAATGCACTATGTGTCAGCACTAGCTCTTGCAATTTTCACATAAAAAAAAATGTCAGGAGAGACAACAGTGACACTCAATGTCCAGAACTGTCGCCTGGCACAAAAAATATTTATGGGGGGAAAAAAAAGATGTTCGGGCCAGTATTTTAATTGAATGTTGGCCTGCATTTCTATGGTATTTTAGAATAAGTAAATTTCTAACATAAGTTTTGGCTACATGCTAAAATGATCGCAATTCCCGAATATTTTGGCATTTGTGAAGACAAATTATGTGAGAGTGTGATCGGACCCCAAACAAATTTTCACTCTACAAAATTCCATACTTTTCACAGTCGCGCAAAATTCATGAAAATTTGTCTTTTTGCAAAACTATATCGGTTTACACAGTATTCATGATTGTAGCATTAATTTTTTACCCAAGAGTTTATTCAGGTGGTAAACTGCCTTTCTGATTCACTAAAATGCTGCAACAGAATCAAACACGATGTTAATTAATGATAATATTTTTTCAACATTTCAAACATTCAAAATTTAATTCTAAGATACGTGTGATGAAACAGACATGCATACACAATTTATAAAATTATATTTTCGTTCCAGTGTTAGTAGAACATGAAATAGAATCAATACATTGAATCAGTATGATAAACATGGTAAAAAATGGTTTGGAGGTAACGTTTTTGTATTTTATAATAATATAATGTGTGAAGTTCAAAACTAGAATCAGTTATATCATCAGTTTCTTCACTTTCATACCAACAGGATGAAGTTCCCAAAGAGGAACTACTGTACTACATCTACTTAGAGTTTGTCTTCCGTGTCAATGAGATTGGTTTGGATGTAAATAAATGTATTAATCATCCCCATACCCAGCAGCTTGTACAGTTTGTATGTGGTCTGGGACCAAGGAAAGGCATGCATCTTTTAAGGGTAAGTCAATTCCCATAGTGTATAATTTCCATGAGGTCTGGGACCAAGGAAAGGCATGCACCTTCTAAGGGTACATGTAAGTCAATTCCCATATTGTATAATTTCCATGAGGTCTGGCACCAAGGAATGACATGCACCTAATCAATCATCTGATAATAGTGAGTAGAATATTGATATTGTGTAAGACAACAAAAAATGTCAGATAAATTTATCTTCAATTTTTTGTCTTACCAGAAATTCACACACACTTGGGTACTCTGTTTGCTATATTTATGTACAGTGAATGTTTTTAAAATACTAGTTTTTGGTTTTTGTGACTTTTGTCATAGTAATCAGAATGTTTCTCTTTGACAGCAATTGAAGTCTAACAACATGAGGCTTGAAAACCGAACTCAGTTGGTGACAGCTTGCAATATGGGACCTAAAGTATTCATAAACTGTGCTGGCTTCATTAAAATAGACACCAATGCTATGGGTGACAGGTGAGTTGAAGTCATTCTACTTTGCTGTAAACACTTTGTTACCTTTGAAGGTCTGATTTGCCCTTTACAAATGAACTAGAGCCAATCTAGATTCTGATTTGCTTTTTTCAACCAAACTAGGGAATTACTCTAGTTTGCTGTACATAAATATAGCAAACATGCCTTTGATTAATACTCGCTGTTACATTAAGGGTCTGATTTGGTTTGCTTTTTCCAAGCGAACTAGGGAGTCATGTCTAGTTTGCTGGAAATAGTCAGTTACATTATTTAGGGAGTCATTGTTGTCTTTGTTTGTGTCAACTTATCTTGTTTGTTAGTATTTGAAAGCCACATTTTTTGGGTATTTTGTAAAATTGTTTTTTTGTTCAGATGGACATAATTTTTCATTGGGCACAGATCTTGATCAAAACTTGGTAAAATGTGCCAAAGCTGACTTTGTTGTTAAAAGGATAAAATTATTATTTTATATTTGTACCGAGTTTTCAGAATGATGAATTGTTGCCATAGTGATCTTCAATGTGATCATTCATCACTTAACAGCCAAGATTCTTTACTATCTTTCTCAGTACTGATTCGTACATAGAAGTCCTGGATGGATCACGTGTGCATCCTGAGACCTACGAGTGGGCCAGGAAAATGGCGGTTGATGCACTGGAGTACGATGAATCTGCAGAAGAGAATAATCCAGCCGGGGCTCTAGAGGAGATTTTGGAAAATCCAGATAAATTAAAAGATTTGGATTTGGATGCTTTTGCAGAGGAATTAGAAAGACAGGTTAGTGCTTTCAAAAAGCAGTAAACGATGAAGGGCAGGATTTCTCAAATCAGTTGGGGAAGTCACAGTATACTGATAAAATGTATGTGACATAATTAAACATAAATATTATTAATCGGTTTTGATCAGTTTGGTAATGACAAAAATAGGCAAATTTTCTTTTATTATTTGACATAATTATTTAAACATAAACTGTATTAATCTGTTTTGACCTGATATTAATTTTTTTTTGCTCCCAGGGTTATGGCAACAAGGGAATCACATTGTATGATATACGAGCCGAGTTGAATTGTCGATACAAAGATTTGCGAGTACCGTTTCACTCTCCTACTCCAGAAGAACGATTTGCCATGTTGACGAAAGAGACTCCTGAAACATTCTATGTAGGGAAGATGGTGCTGTGTAAAGTAACCGGAATAGCGCATAGGCGACCCCGTGGCGAGCAGCTGGATCAGGCCAACCCCGTGAAGATAGATGAAACAGGTTTATGGCAGTGTCCGTTCTGCTTGCAAGATACCTTCCCTGAGCTTAGTGAGGTGGGTCAACGTTTCTCATCTTTCACAAAAAAAACCAACATGTTTCTATGTTTTTTACAAATCAAGATAGCCAATAGGGGAACATGTCCAAAAATTAAAAAAAAAATGCAGAAAAATGCCACTCAAAGGGTAATTATAAAATCTATTTATTGAAAACCTTGAGATTGACAAGTGCTAAAATCTTGCTTTCATCAACCAGTTACATTGTATCTGTCAAAATGCATGCTTCTCCTTTAAATTCAAAATGGAGTGACCTAATTCGGGAAACAACTATGGCTTGCATCTCAGACTAGTCTTAGTGAAAAATGCTTCACAATTGAATATTGGTTTTGTAATATAGTCTTCAACTGTTAGAGAACAGAGAATCCATCAGATGATTCGGTGACTGCCTAAGATGTTGAAAATTCAATCACAACTGAACTACCGTATACAGAACTGCTCGCTTATTGGCAAGGATATCTTGCAAGTACCATTGCTATTGCACTCAATTTTGCCAACATTACAACTTTAAATTCTTTCTTCCTTAAAGATTGTTCCATCTATTTTGTATGCAGGTATGGAGTCACTTTGATGGTAATAAATGTCCTGGTTCAGCCGTCGGTGTCAAAGCAAGATTAGATAATGGTGTGACTGGGTTTATACCGACTAAAATGATTAGTGATAAAAATGTCAAGAATCCTGAAGACAGAGTACAGGTGAGACCACAATATATCTCAAAACTGGAGTAATTCAGAGTTCTTTACATAGCCTGGAAATCCTGGAATGTACATTTCCAGGCTTTGAAAAGTCTTGAAATTTGACCTTTGACCTAATTCAATACCAAATGATGACATTGTTTCAGACAAAATTTGAATAAACATTCTCTTGGCATCGACCTATAAATCCTGACTAAAATAGCCGGGAATCTTAATCAATATAACCCCCCTGAATTTGCCTGAACTTCTTTTCCGGGTGTACAAAACCTGTAGTTGAGTCTGTGGTATCTAGTATGCCCTCTAACATGACTGATTTTTAGGGATTGTGAGTCAAAATAGTATCCCAAGGTACAATTGTGTTAGGTCAGCTCGTTGACTGTTGTGAAGAAAGGCATTCAAAAAAACCAAATTGTATGTGGCTGTTGGTCATTCCTGATGGTGCAAACATTTATTTTGTTTATAAAATATGGTTTTCCTTTTACCAAATTCTTTAACAATTGTAAGGTATTTTAACTTTTTCATACGTGCCATGAATGAAAATAACTATTTACAGCACGAAAAATTAAAACAAAAAACAGAATTTATGCTAAAATAATACTTTTGTTGCCTTGTTTCCTAGATTGGTATGTCAATACATTGCAGAGTAACTAAGTTAGATACAGAGAAATTACAAGTAGATCTGACATGTAGATCCTCTGACCTCGCCGATAGAAACGGTGAATGGATACCATCCAGAGATATTTATTACGACTATGATGTCGAGAAGAAACTCACGAACAAAGATGACGTCGGCAATAAAAAGCAACAAAGACGAGGTACTGTGAACCATTAATTAGAGACTACTAGAAGTGATTACAATTTGGTAATTTGTGGCCAACTAGAAATAGCTACAATCTTGTCATTTGGGAGCATTCATCCTTTTTAAAAAATAACATTGCAACACAATTTTGTGAATTTTTGTATCTTGCAAGATCTTCAAAAATTGATCAACCCTAAAATGAAAGCGTACTGTAAAATACTTTATTTTAGCTGGAATTAATTTTCGCTGAAAAGACTTTGAGTGTTTTGTATATAATTTATTTTCACCAATTTTTCACGAGTTTAATGTAAAATGTAGAAAAAAAGGTACATTCACTGACTCATTTCTTCAGCAAAAATTAAATCCAAGTGATAATAATGTATTCCTGATACAACATTCTGTTGGTTTATTTGGGTTTCCGTTTCATAACCTTTCTATCATTTCACAGCCTACGTAAAGAGAGTTATTGTTCATCCGTCGTTTCATAATATTGATTATAAGCAAACTGAAAAGATGATGGAGAACATGGAACAAGGTGAAGTCATTGTCAGACCAAGTAGCAAGGTAAAAAACTCTCAAAGCTATTTTTTACTGTAACTAGTAATTTCAGTAATCTTGTGTATCCGTGTAGTGTAAATGCATTAACTGGTTTTTAATTTCGCTATTTTCACTAATAAGTAAAATCTGCCAAATTAAATCCATGTGAACTTGTGAAATATCAATAAAACTTGTTTCCTTGCCAAGTTTGTGAACTTAAAACCAAGTGAAATAGCTTCAATCATTAAAACAGTGAAATTAAATGCCAGTAAAAATAAATGATTTTACAGTACTTTAAGTACGATATTTATATTTGCTGTTACATAAATGGTTTGTTAAAAAGTTTAACCTTTTGAGCACCAATGTTTTTCACAGGTTAAAAATTATTTCAAATTTAAAAAAATACTTAAAAATAGACAAAACGTTGTCGAGAAAAATGTAAACGTTTTCAGCTCCAGACAGTCTTGCTCAAATTTTTCTGCACTATATGTAAAGAACCATATTTCAATATTCAATGCAATGAAAGTGATTTTATTTGTTATCTGTTTTTTATGAAGTGAAAGTATACTAATTCATTGTGCAATTTTTACCTATGAATACAATCTTCACAATATTCAATATTGTTTTATTTCATTGTGGTTCAGGGGCAGGATCATTTGACAGTCACATGGAAGGTAGACGATGGTATTTGTCAACATATTGATGTCAGAGAAGAAGGCAAAGAAAACGCTTTCAGTTTGGGACAGTCACTGTGGATTAGTAATGAGGTAGGCAGCCTCTTTAATCTAACTGTTTATCAAAGTCTATCACGCGCTACCCTTTCTTGCTGTGTATGAAGCTGCTCTGCCATGTGCCGGCAGCATATGAAATCTTCATATATTCTGTATCATATTTTTGAATGCAGTGTCTTGCTACAATGACAAACATAAATTAAATATTATTTCTTCTGAGAATTCTGAGTGTTTTAAAAGAAAGGTTAAATTGGAATCTTCAATTTGGATCTGTTATGTGGTACTGTAAAATACTTTATTTTAGCTGGAATTAATTTTTGATGAGTTGCATATGAAATATAGGGGACAAAAAGTATTCACTGGGTTTTATTTTCACTGAAGCATCCCTTAAGGTAGCGAGAGGGGAAAAACTAGAAAAAAAAAAAACTTTTTTCTAAAAATCCCGGATTATGCAACCTTATATTGTGTACTTTCTTTATCTTTGGTCCGAATTTACAGTGCACAATGCATTTGTTGAGTAATTTCAATTTATTCCCGGAAACTTAGTTGTAGGTGAACACGTCCTTCATGCATTTACATATCATGTTGAATGACAGACTGAAGACAAAGGATTTAATTTGCATACTGATTTGTTGACCATCCAGCTTTATTATATCCTGTGTAATCTATAAGTAGTGTCCGTTACGCGATCGAAGCACAAACAAACATTACACTATAGTATTTCAAGCTTTTCTCGGTGTTTTAATAACCTAATATATCATGGGAAGGAGTTCTAAGATGAAAAAAAATGGCCGCCTAAAAAATGTCTGACGCCGTTAAAAGATATCTAAATGAAAGTGGCCTGGGCTCATATTATAGTCAGCCCGCAGAGTGGAATAAAAAAT